TCGATCAGATCGTGGGATTCCTCTCGAGCACCGTAGGCTGTAGCTACGAGCTACAGTCGCGCTACGGCCGTAGACCGCTACACCCGTAGCCACGCGTTTACGACGCCGGTGTTCTACGAACATTTCACGTTAACATAGAACATACGTTATTATTAAATTATTTGTGCGTGAGTGAAGTGGCTGGGATAAGTGAAGATGTAAGTTTAAGTTAGCTTAGTTAGTAAGTTGTAAGTTGCACGCGGGAGATGTAGGTCATCGAACGATAACGGTTATTTTGTCTAGCACAAGTTGGATTGATGTTTCTAGTATAAGGATTCCTACTTGAATATAATTTGTATTACTTTTATGGTTTATTTATAAACATACTGACAAATCATTTTTATCATGATATAAATAAAATATTTATATAGACAACAAAATGCCTTTATCATAAAAGTTATTTTTTTTTATTTTCATGATAGTCGAAATAAAAGATTTAATTGTAGACTATCACTTCAAAATAGCTATTAAAAAAAACGCAAGGAAAATTGTTTTGAATAAATTTTTATTTACTTTTAATTTACCAGGTTGTATAATATTAAAGTAGTTTTATTATTTAAGTATTTCTACAAAATAAAAGTTATATAAGTGAGGTAAGTAAAGTTTACTAATGAGGTGAGTAACAGTCAAAATAACATTTATCGTGCAATTGCAAGAACATAACAGTTTGCTTAAATTTAAGGCTTATGAAAGTTAAACTTTAATTGCGTTGCCTTGTTACCGTTAAAGCGTTAAGCAAATTAGTAATTTTTTTGTACAGAGTACCAAAGAAAACGATTTTTATAAAATTATCAAGTGTAAGTATGTAGAATTTTTTGCAATGTTGGACTGTGATTTGATTACCGAAGAGCGCGCACACCTTTGACTAAACTATCGCACAACTGTTTAGTCACCCTTTGATTCCTATGAGCTAATATGGAAGTACGTATACTACTAGATTTTTAGTTGTGCAACTAAACAGTTGAATTGGCTGTGAAACAATTGACAATCAACAGTCGCACAACAGTTGTGCGAGAGTTTAGTCAAAGATGTGTCCCTATAAGTTTCGATCTTTAGTAGGCCGTGATGACCAGCTTTATGTTCTTTATTGTTGTGAATAAAAATAACTCTCTAACAAAACTAGCTTTTATGACCGGATTTACAATCTTAAATTTAAAATACAATTTTATCTTCCTTACTTTCGTCATCTCCCCTAACTTACTTTATACTTTTTTTACAACAATCCACGTATTTTTACAACTAACTTTTAGCAACTGAAAGTACTTTTTTTTGTAATGGAGCCAAGATAGAAAATCCTGAAAATTACTTTGAACAGAGTAAGATTTACGCTGAATATTTCTGTTTTTGGATTTTTCATTATAATTGGGAAGCTTGTTTGGATTGTTTTACGAAGGAATACTCAAACGGCGTCTTTATTGATAAGGATGATAAATTCCAAGCAGCGCTAATATGCACTGATTTGTTTCAACAATCGGTAGTCGGTTTCTTATTTAGCTGCCCACTCCCATAGACACGAAAAAAGTAAAATTGATATAAAATCTCCAAATAAGACTTGTAGCTGTCCCTCCTAGACTTAGATCATCTGCTGGCAACCATCGAGAGAATTAAGATACGTACATACTTCAGCATTAAAACAAATATTTATCAAGTTATATGAATTGGAAATTGAAAAAAGATAGCAATTGTTAAAGGTCAATGAACTTACATTTTGGCAAAACACCAAATCGCCTCACGCAACGACTGAAATTTTTGCTCAAAGACAATTTTTTACTTCCTCAACTATTACATGGTTCATTTCACAGCGAAAACTGTTGTATCTTTTTTTTCTTTGCTTGATTATACAGAAAATATTACAAGAAATGTTAAAAAAAATCAGATAGCATACTAACAACATTAAAAAAAATTATAAACGGAAAATTATGCAAAAATAAACAACATAGATTGGTTACCGTTTTTTTGCTATTTAATACTCATTATGTTATTAAAAATATTATTTTGTTATACACATTTTAATGAAGAAAGCGTTTCATTTAAAATGCTCCTCTCTTCATTTAATTTTCAGTCCGCCCGGAAGTTTAATTAAATATTTTAATAAACCGTTTTTATAAAAGCACAAAAAAGCTGCGCTGCTTCTGAATAAATATTCATTTCCGTAATTTAATATTAAAGAGTTTTTCTGGGAAAGAAAACAAGTTTATAAATAAAACCAAATTGTATTTTAATTTACAGTAAAACAAAATAAACTTATTCACCTTTAAATGATGCAATGTAAAATATTTAGTAATGACTAGAGGCAACTATAATTTATCTATACTAAGACAGTAAAACATAAACATTTGTTATGTATGAAGTTCAGTATATTATTGAATACGTATTTTTTTAATTAACCCCTATACTTACGATACATTATAGGCTACATATTTTCACTCTTTAATTTTGGGGTGAAAAATTAGGAAAAACGATTATGCGGAAAAGGGACAAAAAATTCAATCCAACAGTGCCAAAAAAGGAATATTACCATGGTAATGGTAATTGTTAGCCATTGGCAAAGGCCTTCCTTGTCTTTTGTGCATTTGAATGTTTATAATTGCAGTTTTACGAAATATAAACAATTAAATAAAGTTTTATAAAGTCATTACAATAAAGCCTCGTGTTAATAACTTGTTTACATGTATTTTTAGTAACTGTATGGACTCAGATCTATTAATATGAAGTCTAAAATATATTTTCTATACTTATCCCTTGGGCGTGATTGTAGATGACCGCTTATAAGGCCGTAGTAGAGAAATAAATAGCCCACACTTTCAATTTATTTCTATATATCGTACGAGGCTTACGGGATTACTAGGGAAGTTTTATTTTCCCTGAACATATTTGAACATCTTTACGTCGATCAATACATCCATATAGAGTCAAATTGGCTTTAGCGTTCTGCTTGTGACGTTGATATAAAGATTTATTATCTGTTAATTGAATTTACAGACAAAATAATTAAACTGTATGGAAATGATTTTGGTAATCAATTGTAAACATGAACAATTCACGTTTCTTTTTAAAACAGCTTTGTACTTTAATGGCATAATTAAGTCCTAACCTAGAATTTCAACTGTCAATTGTCTGTCAACTGTCACACATTTGCACAAAATCATAGGACATTCCTCTTTTTCTCTTTGTATAAATAGTGACAACGATATTTTTATTTAATTAAGTCTTGATGGATTGAAATGGTTAATAAATCTTGTAATGTCTCTGTTTACTGCTCGACCACTCCTTATAATTATACTGTTTATGATGTTATTTATGTATGCTTACCTACTTCCGACTTTATTACGCATTGTGTAGGTGTGAATTGAATTAATTTGTAGTCAATATTACCAACAACGAAGTAATAGTTAAGGGAAGTAGGCGTTGAAAAGTTACATTGACGTAGAATGTAGATTATTTAATTTACATGCGAGATTAGAGAAGTGTATGTAATTAAAAAAATTAAACTAAATTTTAAGAATTTATAGTTAAATCTCAATCTACACTATTGTAATTAAGCGTAAATACACACTACTTTGTGGCGTAAGATGTCAGCAATCATGCCATATTTTTGGATAATTCTTTCTTCAATAAAACACCCTACACTTAATTCACGTTTTAGGCAATATATTTTCACGCTATTAAACTTAGAAAGTAAATACCCTAATGTGGGCAAGGGACCATAAACTACAAGCTGCCAACTTCAAGGAAGTAAGATTGCCATGTTTTGCCATCAAGTCATTTCTTTTTGACATTTGTAATTGATAATTTGCCAAATATAAACAATAAATTTTCATAATATCATACAGATGAAGCCGCATGGGAACAGCTAGTATTGTTATAAACGTGAAAGTTTAGATGAATAGTTTTTTAGAGTTTGTAGCCTAACCCGCTGAACAGATCTCGATGAAATTTGGCTTAGATGTAGAAGATAGTGTGAGAAAAAAAAGGCAACTTACTTTAGTTTTTTTAATTTGACTCGAACGGTATTAAATAAAGGTGTCATTTAAAATTAAATGATATTTATTATGTTCTTACTCAGACGTTAGTATTTAGTAATAAAGTAAGATATTAAGTAAGGAAAATTTAATTTAAGGGAAAGCGAAAATGTACATCTTAAGTGAGTTAACGCATCCATTTTATCCCGCCTTTCTGCTCGACCTTAATAGAGGGATGGACAACCTCAATTCGGAAACAGGCAAAAGAGAGTCCCTTTAATCTCCGCTGAAAATCTTGCAAACCTTATTTACTTTAGACCCTTAGTTTAGGATACTTATTTACTCACGTGAACTTCTAGCTGTTTATTTACTTAAAATTAAGATTGATGTAAAAGTTAATATATTTATGATATTTCATTGAAAATAACTTTTCTAGACTACTATTATAAACAGGAAAGATGTATATTTTTGTTTTTTTTTTGTATGTATTGAAATAACTTGAAAACTACTGGGCCGATCTCGAAAATTCTTTCACCATTAGTAAGGTAAATTATCTGTAACATAGGGATCTGTGAAAACATTTTTTTTGTTTATTATTGCGGACGAAGTCATGAGCAACAGCTAGTACTTTATATAGTAAATAATGGCTGAAATCTAAAAGATATATCTTTATGAAATGAAAACTTACATTTTTTTTAGTACAGCTTGAATCATACTTAATTTACTTAATTGCAAGATTTCACTTCCTCCTTGATTGGGCCTAATTATAGACATTTCGAGAAGCTCCTTTTAACTTAACGAAAGCTCTCGACACGCCTTCAAAGCTAAGACAATGAGGTACACTGAGATGAAAAACTGTTGGTTTAAAATGACCTTGACAGTTACTTTACAGTTTTGTTAAATTGTATTTTACAAAATTAATGTTAATTATAATTCTGTTCAATTCAATTTTACAAAACTTGAAAATAGAACATTTTATTTTGTTGTTTTTTTATTAGAATGTCGCTGGTGCCACCTGGCGGTGCGGATTCGCCGAGTCCAAGGCGCGCTGTCAGCCCGCTCCTTGAGATGCGGCGGCCGCATTGCACCCTGGCCTGCGATTACTGCGCGGCCATCTTGGAAGACAAGTTCAAACGTAACGGTTTAGTATTCACACATTTATAAATAAATTTCTACCATTTACTTATATTAAGAGTACGCACACCTTTGACTAAACTTTCGCATAACTGTTAATTCCTATGAGCGCATTAGCGAATTAGCGCATAATACTCGATTTTTAGTTGTGCAACGAAGTTGAATTGGCTGCGAACCAATCGACAATCGCACAACAGTTGTGCGATAGTTTAATCCATAGTGTGCGCCCGTTCTTAGCACTTAGTTATACACAAAGAACGCAGTCTATGGATATAAAATCTATTGTAACTATCTTCCCTAAATAGTAAAAACAAACTATGCAACGGATTTTTATACATTTTAGTAGATAGAGTAATTCAAGATGTTGGTTTACAATTCGATGTAAATAAATCATTGTAAAAAATACTCTAGCTGGAAGAATTTTTAATTTAAAATTTAGAGACTTGTAAATTTAGAGTTCCATACCATATAGAAAATTGTAAAATATATCTTCAACATAGGGAATACGGATATGAGAAATCGAGGGACATCTCCGCTGTCGGCGTCACCGAGACAATCACTGACGGGTGAACCCCCCTGGACACTACCGGAAGATGACCGTCCCGACTTCTCAGCCTTGAAAGAAAATATTCAGAAAATAAACAAGTAAGGTTCACGAGTTTTGGAGCCGGCGCACATCTTTGACTAAACTATCGCATAATTGTTGTGCGATTGTCGATTGTTTCGCAGCCGTTTCAACTGTTTAGTTGGACAACAACAATTAGAGTAGTGATCGAGTAATACCTCTATATAAGCACATAGGATTCAAAGCGAGACTGAACAGTTGTGCGATAGTTTAGTTTCAGCTGTGTACACGGTCTTATATATATATAGAAAAAACGTATATGGGGCGAATTTCTTTATAAATATTATTTTATTATAATTTTATGTTTTTTTTTATGAATTCATTAAGCATTTTACAATTTGTTTTCTAGATAACATTTAGACAAAGAAGTTATTAAATACAATGTTCTATATAAATAAATTTAGCACTAGCTTTTCACAGTTATTTCTTTGCCTAGACGAAAACATTCATAAAAACATATCTTGATTTCGCACGACATAAATATGTCTGAATAGTTTTTTCTCCTTACATTTGATACCCTTTTGAATATGTAATTTATACGGTGGCATCCACTCAAAGAATATTATATAAAGATCGTGGAAATATAACTTTTGATGGTTTTCCTTCACTTTTAGTAAAACATTTCGTATAATAGTCGCTTGTACAGTTTACTTCGTTTATTTTGCATTGTTAAGTGACACCTAGAAAATTACACATATACACTAGCTGGCATATAGGCTCTAACTGACGCCAGTAAACATCAGACGTTCTGTACAAAACACACGCAATTGTTTTATTAATCTTACTAATATTGTAAATGCAAAAGTTAGGATGAGTTTAGGGATGGTTGGTTGGATGTATGTTTGAGTTTGTAGCCTCAACTGCTCAACGGATCTCGTTGAAATTAGGTATAGATATAGAGGATAGTCTGGAATAACACATAGGCTACTTTGTTTGTTTTTTAATCCACGCAGACGGAGACAAGCCGTAAGTTATTGGCATAATGTCAACTAGGCATTAGTATTATGGTAATAACATAAACATCAGTGTGAAATCTATCACTTAATGCGAATCTGAAAAGATAGAAACGATAAGATAGAAAGATAGATAACTAGTATTGTTAAAGTTACTATTGTTAACAGAGATTGCGAGACTTCGACACGTTTGGACGTTTTACTGACACAAGTGGAACAATACGCGAACAACTTGGAAGCTCTAGTCGAGGAGAGGACTTCCGACTATCTGGAGGAGAAGAGGAAATGTGAGGAGTTGTTGTATCAACTGTTACCTAAGTAAGTTATATACTTATATCTGACATTGTTACTTACAACGGTTAGTATAACGGCGCTTCTTGCGGAAATTTTTGCGCCGCGTAGATGCCTTCTAATACGATCTGTCCTCGGCGGTTTTCGCAAACCAATATGACTCAGGCTACTTCAAGAAACGATGCTATCTCGTTTTCAAAAACCGACATCTCATTTGCTGTTCCTTTGGTATTGTGGATGTCCATGGTTATGAGATCTCGATGTTCCCGCCATTCGTTTGCTCCCTATTTTATATATAAAAACTGGTATTTAAGCTAAATCAACTTAACTATAAATCGTTAACTTATTTAGGTCTAGTAATCTAAATTAAACTTTTAGTTTATGTTGTTGAAATGCGACTAGTCTTTACTTAATAAAATTTCCTTCAACAAATTTCTTTTAAACTTCATACATCCAACTTTATAAGTTACCTGAGCTTACTTAAACTTATAACTGTTGAGATGTTAAGTTTTAAACTTTAACTTTGAAGTTAATTGTTTGTACACTTTATAGGATCCGTGGAGTAGTTCTATCACGAGCTGTTTTGAAAGTTGAAGTTTAAAGTAAATTGTAAATTTTTCTAGTGAGGTCAGAATTTTAATTTTATCACATGGTGTCTGAATTTCGATATGAATTCTCTTAAAATATAAGAGATTGGAAAGAAACTTATATTACAATGAAACAATGATTGCAATTTAAGCTGACCGAATACTAAAATCAGTTTGTTTCATACAAATATATTAGCGGTCGACCGTAACATCGTTGAGAAAATTCGCCTACAATAATCTTACATGCATCAAGTACCTTTCTGTGAAAGTCACGTCAATATCGGTCTAGCCGTTCCAGAGAATACTTGGAAAACGCGGCCTTGCAGACATGTTATGATTTAAAAAAAATATTGTTATCAGCAACGATAATATAAAATGTACACGAAATACATTTCTTTTTCAGTCATTCGTGTTTGGATGGATGGATGTTTGTTAGAGTTTGTAGCCTAAACAGTTGAACGGATCTCGATGAAATTTGGCATAGACGTAGATGATAGTCTGGAAAAACACATAGGCTACTCACTTTTGTTTTTTTTTAATTCCTTGCGAACGGAGTCGCGAGCGAAAGCTATTACACAAGAACAGTCAAATTTGAAAATGTTTATAGATTTAATAAAATCTAATGTGTAATTGATCATTCACGCATATTAACAGATTCAGAATTTATTCAAGTTTATATTATTATGGTAGCTACAAACAACCTTTCGTGCTATTCTGATTGATAGGATTCATTAATCATACAAAAGTAAACTTTGTTACACTCTAATTAATTCATACGTTTGTGTGCAGAGTTATAATTCAGTAATCCATAATTACAAAGGTATTACACACAGTCGGATTTATTGTGTTACTAGCTTTCGCCCGCGACTCCGTCCACGTGGAATTAAAAAATAGAAAAATAAGTAGCCTATGTGTTCTTCCAGACTATGTTCTACATCTATACCAAATCATCAAAATTAGTTAAGCCTTTAAGGCTACAAACTCCAACAAACGTCCATCTAAATTTTCACATTTAAAATATTACTAGCTTTCACGCGCGACTCCGCCCGCGTGGGTGTAAAAAGAACAAAACTGAGTAACCTATGTGTTCTTCCAGACTATCCTCTACGTCTAAGTCAAATTTCATGGTGATCCGTTCTGCTGTTTAGCCTACAAACTCTAACAAACATCCATCCATCCATCCATCTAAACTTTCGCATTTATACTACTACTAAGATAGTATAATTTATAAGTCTCCTTAGAGTGTGCCACGCTTGAAATTAAACTAAACTGTCCCATAACTGTTTAGTCTCGTTTTAATTCCTATGACCTTAAATGGAGGTGCGCACACTACTCGATTTTTAGTTCTGCAACTAAACAGTTGAGTTCCCTGCGAAACAATCGACAATCGCACAATGGTGGTGCGATTGTTTCTTCAAAGGTGTACGTCCGCTCAAAGCGTAGATCTAGCTAAAATAAATTAAAGTAATTATTTACTCTAGTACCAAGGTATTTAGTATTTAAAATGTTTTTATCTATGTAATTTACTAATCAAACCCAATTTATGTTATTTAGGTTCATTTTACTTACTAAATTACTACTTTAGTGTGAAATAAACAGTTTTTTTTAGATATGAGCTATCGCGACTCTGGAGTTATTCTTTTGTTTATTGATTAACGTTTTGTTTGATTGCTTTAACCTTAAAAGGTTTTTTAAAATAATAATAATATAATTTAATGTTAATCTGGGTATTTCGGCGAATTTTAACAATTCTAGTTTTCGCAAAATAACATAGTTATCTATAACTTAAGTGTAATCTTATACTGTAGCGTATTAAGTACAACTAAGTGCACTCTGGGCTGGAGTAAAACTTAAGCATCTAAGTGTGTACTTAAGTTTTATCTATATTGTCACTGAACTCAAGAAAAAAGAAGATATTATATTACTAATGCTTTAAAAGCATATTAATGTTACATTACAAGTTATTTCTAAGATCAACGGTAACACGTGTTGTTATAATTAAAAACATTATTTCTTTATGTTTTCTTTTTTTATAACGCACTAGCTTTTCCCCTGCGGCTTCATCTGCATAAAATTAAATACGTTATTTCATTGTTTGCATCTGTCAAATTTTCAATTGCAAATGTCAAAATACCAATTACCTTACAATGGCGATTTTGCTTCCTTGATTTTGGCAGCAACCTATGGTCTCTTTCCCACATTAGTAATTTTATCCAAAATATTTAACCAGTAAGTTTAATGGCGTGAAAATATATAGCCTAAAGCGTGACGTAAGAGTAAGGCTTTTTATTTTAAAAAAGTATTCAAAAATATGCTGTAATTGCTGACATCTTGGGCAACAAAGGAGTGTGTGTTTACGCTTAATTATAATAGTATAGATAAACATAAGTTGTATTAAAACTACAATTTCTATACAGTTTTCTTCAGCTAAAAGTGATTCAACTTCAACAACCAGAGTCTTTCAAGTTACGCAGGCCTTAAAAGTCCCCTCAAGTCCATTAATTGACTCTGATAGGAGTTACATGACACAAAATCTGTTCTACATAAATACGTGTAATAAATCTTGTTAATTAGATGATTTCTCATAGATCGGTGGCATCACAACTTATTCTTGGACAGCCAGTGATGGCAGAGACATACGACCAAGTAACCATCTACTTCAGCGATATTATCGGCTTCACGAAACTCTCAGCGGAGTCCACTCCACTAGAAGTAGTCGATCTGTTGAATGATTTGTATACAAGCTTCGACTCTATTATAGAGAACTTCGACGTGTATAAGGTAAGAAAATGATTTTAATTAGTAAATTGTATAACAGATCCTGACTTATCTTAGGTTTAGCTTTTTATTATATATAATATATATAACTGCAATAAGTTTAAATTTACATTTGTGGCAATATACGGCTAATATAACAATAGAATAGAATGTACATTATTGTCACAAAGAAAGAAACAAAAGAAACACGGGCTTAGACAACGCAGCGTATAATACCTACTACAAATTGCACCAACTCAAACTAGTTAAAACCGGTTTGATCCATTTTGTCTCGTCCAGGTGGAGACTATAGGTGACGCATACATGGTGGTGTCTGGGCTACCAATGAGGAACGGCAGCCGGCACGCGGCGGAGATCGCGCGCATGTCACTAGCTCTGTTGGGAGCTGTGCGAGTTAAGACAGTACCACACCGGCCGGGGGAGAGGCTGCTACTGAGGATCGGGATGCACACAGGTGAGACAAGCTTCAAGATCTCTAAATCCAGGAAATATGTCGCTGGCTTTACTCCGGAGCTGAGATCGGAGTCTACATCAAACTGTACTCCGGCTAATTATTAAGACTTACGGATAACTTAGGCAAATGTAGTGAAGGGGGGATGAAAGTAAAGGGTATGGAATGTAAAGGGAAAGAGTTCCTATAATTTTACTTCTTCCCAATTTGTTGAAATCTCGATGAAATTAGGCTTAGATATAGAACATAGTGTAGAAGAATATACAGACTAACAACATCCATCTATTTATACTTTCGCATTTATAATATTGGTAAAATAATTTATTTGCTTTTGAAGTGAAACTTTCATTTATTATGATGGTTCTTTTTACATGAAGTCGCAAATTAACAAACACGAAATCAGAGACTGCATTCACGTGATTACAGTGTAGCTAATAATGTTTTATTACAGGGCCGTGTGTGGCGGGCGTTGTGGGGTTGAAAATGCCTCGCTACTGTCTGTTCGGGGACACGGTCAATACTGCCTCGAGGATGGAGTCTCACGGCGAGGCTCTCAAGATACACGTCAGTCCGAAGACCAAGGAGATACTTGATTTGTACGATTGCTTCGATCTAGAGTGTCGGGGGGAAATTACAATGAAGGTAAAGTTGTTTTATTTATAAAATTGCCGTCTGATTATTTCTCTTGATTGCCATGTTTTTTTTTTTAAATATAGGTAAATAAAATGTATATCTCTAAAAACTTGGAAGTAGTAATACAAGTTTAAAATTGTCAGAAGGAAAGAAGTTTTTAAATCAAATTTCTCACAACTCTTTGCGACTTTTTTTAAATATATAATTATTTTTACATTGTAAACTCTATCCTTTTAGGGAAAAGGAAAAATGGTAACATATTGGTTAATAGGAGAAAAACCGAATGAATCAAGAGACACCGAAATAAATTGCAACCAAATCACTCAAACTAATCCTAGCATAACATTCCAAGGACCTGATAGTCCCGCTGCTCATTCTTTAACTCACAGCCAAAGTCCTGAACGTAACGGTACTAAGGAAACCAGCAAGAATACACCAGAAGAATTACTGAGTGAAAGAGATCGTATTAAACATGAAATAGCAACATTCGTCGCGAAAGATCTAATCAATAACATAGACAACGCTGTTAAAGAATTCAGAAAATCACAGAGCGCTACTTTTAGCTCTTCGCCTGCGAACAAAACTGTCTGCAATGGAAATGAAAGAGGCTTAATAACTCCTACGTATGATAAAGAATTAGTTATCAGTAAAGGAAAAGTACGTGATGTTGTGAATAGATTTAACAGCGGAGTGAACACAGAATCTCCAAATAATAGCAAAACTAAACCTCTGTAAAGACTGAATGACATCGTTTATCTTCAAGCCCGGTCTAAAAATACTATATTCTTAGTTTAGTAGACGTGAATGTATTTTAAGATAAATGTGCAAAGCACTATATAATACTGTAGAATCTAGTCAATAAATATAATATATTCGTAGTGTTAATGTTAAGAATTTTGTTGAGGTTGTTTCAACAGTTTAACTATAGGCCAGGTTATTACTAATATTATAAATGCGAAAGTTTAGATGAATGTTTGTTAGAGTTTCCCGACTAAACTAAACGGATCTCGATGAAATTTGGTATAGATTTAGAGCAGTGTTCCTCAAAGTGGGCGATAACGCCCCCTTGGGGGCGTTTGAAACCTAGAGGGGGGCGCTAAGTGCCTCAGGAAAAAAGGGGGGCATTTATTACAGTTAGGTGGGCGATGTATAATTTTTAATTTCAAATACTTTATAGAGTATCATAAATTTCACTAAAATTAAAACTCACATACTACATTGTAGAGCATAGTCTGAAAGAACACACTTTTCATTTGCCATGCTACAGAGTCGCGGACGAAAGCTAGTATCAAATTCTATGGTTTACGGTTAGAGTTACCAAAAATCAGTGTCTCATATTGGTTGGATCGATCGAAAGCATGTATTAACATTTTTTTTGTAAATTACTGATTGTCTTGTAGATGTCATGTTGTAAATACAATTTCTCTCCGAGATCGCATCGGAGGCACTGATATGCCCTACCTAATACTCGTAGGAGAAAAACTTGCTCCGAATTTTAATCGATTGATAGTAGATTTGAACTTACCTAATATATTAAAACAAATATATGTCTACAATAGATTAAGATGGAAGATCTTATAAAAGATCTTAAATGAAAGCTGTAGTGAGAATTCGTGTAATATATACATGTAGAAATTACAAAAAAAAATATATTACTTTAGTCCTTGTAGTGTTTTTACAAAACTTTTATACTTCCGTACCTTTCTTATTCGATGTTTTCCCTATTTTATGTGGAACATTATTCTGTTTAGAGTATGATAAATTATACTTAGTTTTAAGCTAAATAAGTATTTATTTGAAGATGTTTAGCAATTCTTATATGTAAATGTTAGTTCTTAGAACTTTTACAAAACTGTTATAGCATTGATATATTTATTTCTTGTTTTCTTTCTCTAAATAAATGGCGCTCTCTCGTGTCAGAGGCCAAGACACACTTTGGGTCGCTGCGCCAACGCAGTAAGCAAATAAAAGGAGACAAAAAAGTAATTTGAGGATTGTTTTTAAAATTTTTGAAAACATTAAGAAAAGGTTCCTTTCTTGAAATAACTTATATGTGACTTTATTTAAATATAAATAGAGTTCATAATCGATGTATTTTGTCTAGTCATAAATAAATAGAAATATTAAAATAATACATAGTTTATTCGTTTTTTTGTTAGAATTCTTTAAATGATATTAAACATAAAGAAAAATAACTCTCTTTTTTTTACACCTCAATCCTTTGACGGAGATTTTTGTAGCAATAAAAACAATAAATTCAACTAGCTATAATTTGTAAACTAGGTATAACTAAATATATTTTGGTATTATAATGAATTCTAATATATCTATTGATCCATTAAAAACGGCTCAACTCACGCTTTTATCTTCCGGTGACGGCACCGACTAGTTTCGGACCCTTCGGGGATCCTTCTTCAGGGCGAGTATTATTTAACTTTTGTTCGCGGTCGCGTCGCGCCTCGCACTGCGGGCCAGGGCGCGGAGGGCGCGGCTCGAGGGGGCGGGGGGCGCTAAGAGCGTTGTGGCCGCTTCGTGCTTCGGCGACGGAGATGTCGACGGGTTCAAAAATGTTGAAGTGTCGCTATTGTTGTTAAAATTTTTAGGCGCGACGTGACCGCGAACAAAAGTTAAATAATACTCGCTCAGAAGAAGGATCCCCGAAGGGTCCGAAACTGGTCGGTGCCGTCACCGGAAGATAAAAGCGTGAGTTGAGCCATTTTTAATTAATTTTCGCTTAAAGTAATGTCTCACGATAGTTTAAACAATTTAATATCTATTGATGTTCAAATTTTCAATCTTTTATCTTTATCCGCGACTAATTTTTTTTTGTGACTGAGTTGTCACTGTTTGCCTTGAAGAGGCATTTACAGATTCACCGGCTTTATGTGGCCGAGCGCAGATGGAGCTTAGCCTAAACCTCTTTTGTGAGTAACTAGGCTCGAGGGCTCCCTCAGGAGCCTCGGCTCGGGCCGTTACTTCGTTATTATTACAGAATTGGGAGGCTACCGAGCTCTTACCCCACGACTAAGTTACAGGGGTGTCAAAAGTGCCCTGAAGCGCTTTGAGTGTTTGGCCGTGCTCGCCTCAGCGAAATATGTTGCCAACACTCTAAACACACTCGTTCAGTATTTTTTTTAATTAGGTGATCGCCACACTATAGAATTAATGGTTAAAATGTGAATACGTATCAAAGTTAATTTTCAAGTAAATAAAAACCTTCTGTAACCTTCTTGCGACCTTCAACAATCGCGTGACGAATTCAATACAGAACAAAGACTCACGAAACGATATTATTTCTGACATTTACAATAAATTATACACTAAATAAACCGAGAATAGATTGAAGAAAAAAAAATCTAGTAAGGTTAATATTCTTCTCTTCAAAATAGCTAAAAATGTTTTAAGCAAAAGTTATGTGGCATTGGTCTGAAACAACTGCTTGTGAGAAATAAACGCAGATAGAACAAAAGACCATGAGAATGGTAAGTATCCAAGATCAGAAGAACTGGTTAAAGCTACACCCGTTTACTAGACTAGGTTGGCGAGGATAGCCTAGCAACTAATCTGTATTTTTGTATTTTTGCATGTATTGGAATAACTCAAAAACTACTGGGACGATTTTAAAAATTCTTTCACCGTTAGAAAGGTAATTTATCTGTGAGTAACATACGCTATATTTTTTAATTTCACGCGGGCGAAGTCGCGAGCAACAGTTAGTATTGTATAAAAAAGAGCATAGGTAGGTAGCATGTAATAATTTACATGCTACCTATACGTATTCATTCGAGCTTAGGATTTCAAGTCACGCATCCAATTTGATTCATCTCCAAACGTTGGATAAATTTAATCTCCGTATATGTCAACATGTAGCGAGACGGATGCTGGTTCAATAAACTCGCTTTATTGGTATATTTATTATTATCTGATGGGACGTTTGCATAATGACATAAAAGTATAAGACACGATGAATAATAGCGTTGCTAGCGTCTTTGCTTACAACTAGTTGTTGCTCGCGACTTCGCGAGCGTAAATTAAAAATATAGACTATGTTACTCACAGATAAATTACCTTTCTAACGGTGATAGAATTTTTAAAATCGGCCCAGTAGTTTTTGAGTTATTTCAATACAAAAAATACAAATCTTACCTCTGCATAATATTAGTATAGACTTTAAATATTTTTATTTGGATTATCCAGGAAGCTTTGGATGAAGGGGGAGGAATTTATTCTGTGAAAGGTGTTGTGAATGGCTTATGTCTAAAAGTGGACAGATAAAGGCTGATCATCATACCACAAATCAAATTAAAAACAACCTTCATTAATCTGTACATGTATAGTTTATACACAATTCCGTATATCAAATCACGTAAAATGTCAACGCCAATCAAATCGCAATCAATTAGTTTGCATTCAGTTTCGAATGTCGAGCATTGGATGCAAACAGAGGTCGACGTTAGGATGATAATTGAATTTGCCTGCTCTATACTACCAATGTAAACTAGCTCTGCAATACGTGATAAATCTAAATATTGAATACGGGGTAAATAATGCTTCAAATAATGTGCCTGATTTAATAATTCCTTTAATTATAAAGTACAAATAAAAGTAGTTATCGAATAAGCAGCAACATTTAAATTATTTAAACTTAAACATTAGGCGAGTGAACTCGTCCTGAAAAGGACACCCGCAGGGTCTGAAACTGGTCGGTGCCGTTATCGAAAAAAGTAGACGTGAGTAAAAGCCGTAAAATAATTAGTTATAAGCCGCCACATGTCGCTAAAAGGTATCGCAATGGAGAGAAGAATATTTTTCATTTTGATTCTCTCTCCTACCCTAATAAATGCACATCCGTTCCCACAAAGTATAAATAAATCCATCTTACTTTTTGCTAATGCTATAAATGCGAAAGCTTAAATCGATGGATGGATGTGTGTTAGACGGCTAAACGGCTGAAAAGATTTCGATATCAAGCATAGATCTAGACTAGAGCATTGAAGAACGGTACCTAAGGCTACTTACTTTTGATTTTAACGCGCGCTTATCAACTAGCTTTCGCCACGCGAATGGAGTCACGGGCGAAAGTTTGTTGATAATTTAAAAAAAGTGAATACGCCTATGGGTGGTCTAGAGTCAAGGCAAGGTGTAAAGTAACTAAAATTGCTATGTTTAGTTAGAGTGGAAATTTTAGAGAAAAGATTAGTCTCACAAAGAAAAAAAAATGAAGATCGGATTAGCCATTTTTCGAAAAAAGAATCTTCCATACCAACATACGGCCTGAATCGATTCAGTTGCACGCGAGTGTAGTGTTCATACATACTCGTAATTATATTTTTCGGTTCTCTAGGGAGGTAACCGCCTTCTCCCCAGGCTTAAACTACAAACGTCAATTAATTTCAAAGTTAACCTTAAATGGTTTATGCTGAGCATGACAATCCAATTAGTTTTTGAAATCGCCTCCGGACACTACTAGATCGATTTATTGGAATAGGAATTTTTTGTCTCATTTTTAACATTACTAAAATATTTTAATTTTTCTAGTAAACTTTAATATGAAGCTAAAATAAGATTTATTTACAGACATTGAATAAACTATGAATTATTCATAACTTTTATCGAAAATCTAATAAATTTGACTTGTATACACTAGGCTTATTATAAAGTCTTATAAGAAACTTATAATTTTTTTTACGCTCTAAAACTCCATCAACTATCAAATTTTTTAAAGATATTTTTAT